CATGGGGGACCCCACAGGCCCCTGTTCGCTGCAGGACTGTTGTTATAGTAGTAAGAAATTAAAATGTGAAAAATATGTTTGATTTACATTAATGAAGTAAAACCAACACACACACACACACACACACACACACACACACACACACACACACACACACACACACTCTCTCAGGTGTATCGATGAGCTGATTGATCGCTGATTGGAGCAGACACGTCGCGGCTCTCTGCGGGAGGCTCCCGGTGACTCTGGGAGCTCGGACCCGGCGGACGGTGCGCTCTGAGCGGGCAGGCTGCCATGCGGATGCCGGCTGCTGTCCTGCAGGATGCAGGTGACTCTGCCGCCTCCGAGCCGCCGGTTAGCGCCGCGCCAGGCCGGGGACGGATCCCCGAGCCGCCGCAGACCCGATGGCTTCATCCGCTCTTCGGTTCTCCTCCTCCGGGCCCGGAGCCGCCGACCAGCTGCTCTCCTCCGCGTCCCCCCGGCCGTCGGGTCCCCGGGCCCCAGTCCTCTGTCTCCCCGCCGGTTCAGCATCTGGACCCGGACCAGGTGAGCGGCAGAAGGCGGACCCAGAGAAGGACGCTGCAGCAGTTCGGCGCAAACTGTGTGAATGCTGGAGCCAAAGCAGCGCAAAGCCCGTCGGTGCGAGTCGCCGGTTTGGCTGCTGTTTCAGCGGCTGTCTCTGGTTTCATCCTCCGCCTTTGTCCTCATGCTTTCCCCGGAGTTCCTCCCCCTGCGGCGCTGGGCGGAGTTTCATACCGGACTAGACGCTCCTTTTGTCGGATTCGTTTCGACCTGACTCCCCGGGGTTTACGGCTGAAAAAAACACACTTTGAAAGTCCCGAAATCAGCCAAACGACCACAGTGGTGTGCAGTAATAACCCGGGTTTCTGTGTGAAGCAGCAGGTAAGCAGGAAGTTGTGATTTGAAGCAGATTTCTGGGGTTTTCTGCTCGTCTGTCCCCGAGTCTCCAGAACATTCATGGCGGCTTCGCAGTGAAGGCTTGTGGGGCAGCAGCAGCTCATCCCGCCCGCCGAGCCCCGAAAACACCAAATTCAACAGTTTGCCAGTTAAATAATTCACGTCGGGCCGATGTTTCACCACAACGGGCAGAAATCAGGAGGAATTCACGCACAGACGACGACGGATTTGACCGTTTAAGCAGTTTTGTTGAATAATGCGATTATCCACGTGTCGCGCTGCTCGCGGCTCCGGAGCTTCTCCTCGGAACCGTTTTTCTCTTTCCTCCGTTTTCCTGCGTTCGCTCAAGAACCCGCAAAACGTCGCTTGTGTCTGCGGTCGCTCTTTGCGTGCCAGCGGAAGCTACGTGCTGACTCCTGCCGGAGGACGGGCGCCATTACCGGGCAGCTGCAGCCTGACGGCCCGCTGCGACCGCCGCCGCTCCGCCGCCGCACCGAGCGCCTCCAGGCCCCGTCCGAACCGGACCCGGCGACACTCGGCGGAGACTTTAGTTGTTCAGAACGTCGGTCGTTTTTCTCGCCAGCCGTGAGATTTAAACGGCGTTTCAGTCCGGAGCCACTAACCGGAGGCTCGGCGCGGCTCCCCGCCGCCTCCGCCCGCTCCGGGAGGAGCCAAGTCCCCGCAGCTTCTACAGGTCCGGTCGGAGCTGTGCGGGTTCCAGCCCAGTTGCAGATCTGATGATAAAAACACGCAGAGAGCCTCCCGGGACCGGTTCCGCTCCGGGGCCGTAAAGCTGCAGGTTTGAGCTGAACTTTGGTGGAACATTTAATCAGAACCGCGTCCACTAACCCAGATGCTGAATGCAGCACAGAACCACAAGAACCGGCTCCGACCCTCAGCGTGACCTTGTCAGCGGGCCGCAGTGACTTCCACGGCCCGGGAGAGGTCACCGCGGCCGGGGGGCGGGTCGGAACGCAGCGGGTCGGAGCGCCGGTGGAGCAAACTGGTCCGAACTTCATATGACATCAGAATCAGCTGCTGAGCCCAGAAAGTTCCTCTTCAGCTTCTAAATGACTAATAGTGGACATTAGTTCCCCGAAAGCACCGAGTGAACAAACAGCCAAGTGTGGAAGTGAAAGTTCGTCCGGTTCCGTCCGGTTCCGTCAGGGCGCTGGTTAAAGACTCAGAACTCTGGGAGATGCAGAATCAGATTTTCATTGTCATATTTTCAAGGCAGTATTTCTGACATTTTGTTCTCGAGAACCTGAGATTCACGAGTTTTCAGCAAAACGACGCATCAGGTCCTGCTGGTCCTGCTGGTCCTGCTGGTCCTGCTGGTCCTGATCCACCCGGTCCGGGCGGAGCTTCACACACCTGTACCATGTCTGTCCATCTGTGTGATGCTGGTCCTGATGATGTGACCTTTATATTCTTTTCTGCCTTTAAGGTCCTGAGTTGTGTATTTTTGCAGCCGTCCTGTATCAGAACCTGGGCTGCTGCTCCTCAGTGACTTTTCCAGGAATGTTTGTGTCTCATGTAAATGACCTGAAACTCACAGAACCGAGCCGCTGAGCAGACGTCAGCTTGTGGATTCTGCTGAGCCTGCAGGCAGCCTGATGTGTCTGAAAGCTGCAGAAACACCAGTCGGAGGCCTTTGAGTCTGTTGGACCGGGTTCTGTTCATCTGAAGGCTGCAGTGTGAACGTTCAGCTGCTCTCTGATCCGTTAAAGTCCCATCAACAGTCTGAGCGGGTCGGACCCAGTCACGGTTCCGTTTAACTGTCAACACAGTCTGAACTGAACTTTACATCATCAGACACAAGCAGCAGAACTGGGTCCAGTTAGTTCAGGATTTCTCCTCATTTCAGCTCCAATATTCATGAAACACATCATTGATGTAGAAAATGACACCAAAGCAGCAGGAAGACGTCCACAATCATGAAACTGTGCCGTGACGGAACCACACACTCACAGCTTCAAGACCAGCCATGCTGTCCATCACTGTTCAGCTGTTTTCCTCCCAGATGTTAAGAGGAGCTGGAGTCAGTTTGACACCTGCAGGATCGGACCAGAGCTGCTGCAGCGACACACTGAGCCACCGTGTCACCATCAGCGGTCCAACATGGACCAGCAGCAGCTGGAACAGCTGCTCACCTCAGACAGGTGAGCTGTTCATCAGCTGCACGGGAACGTTCCAGGAGTCAGAGATGAACCGAGCTGGTCCTGATCTGGACTCTTTGATCAGCTGCTGTTAGTTTAGTTTATTAGGTTTCATACATCACTGATCCATATCTGGTTCTGCTGCGGTTCTACCAGCACTGAGCGTTCCTGTCTGACTGCAGGAACATGAGCAGAACATGAACAGAACTGTGACCTCTGTGTGAAAGAGGCTCAAGAACCAGCAATGTTCCACGTTTGCTTGCTGATCTCAGTATACGTCGAGAACCTTTCCTCCTGCCTGAACTTTCTCCTTCAGGTCTAAACTCCCTCTGCTCACTAACTGGACCAACCAGAACCTCCTGGTCCAACCACCATAACAGGGCCCAGGTCGGTAGCTGGACTCTCCTCCTCTGTGGTTCTGGTGGTGGAACCAGTTACCAAACTGGTCCATCTGCTGACTCCCTCTCAGTCTGTGAGAACAGACTAAAGAGCAGCTCTGCGCTCAACACCTCTGCACCGGACAGGCTGGAAACAAACAAACAAACAAACAAACAGACATCCTGTCACCTCGCTACAGCCTGCTGCTGGCATCAGCGCCCTGTCACACTGAACCTGTTCTATGGTTCTGATCCAGGTTGTCTTCTCCTGAGCAGGTCCTTGCTGGTGCTGATCTGCTCTCAGACGGACGTCGCTTTGGATAAAAGCGTCTGCTGATGAAACTGTAGAATTGTAGTAGTTCCTGTCTCTGCCTGTAGGGGGCGGGGTTTCTGTGGTTCAGGTCCTGGATGAACTTGTGTAAACTGTGTGTTTGTGTGTCCAGAGGCGGCAGGGGGCGGAGTCTTCTCCGTCAGTTGCTGCACAATGAACGGCAGCAGCAGCGTCTCCGCGGCTCAGAGCGCCAGGATCAAGGCTGAACCAGGTAAACGTAAAAATGTTGCATCGGTGCGACCCACTGGTTCTGACCACCTGTTCTGACCCTGTCGCTGTGCTTAGATGACTGGAGTAAGGAGGACTGCCTGACTCTGCTGGAGAGGATTCGTAGTCTGCTGCCAGACGCAGACGCCATGAAGTACAAAACCACCGAGTCGCACTTTGACTGGGAGAAAGTCTGTTTCGGCAGCTTCACCGGAGACATGTGCCGCCAGAAGTGGCAGAAAGTCTCATGTGAGGTACCGGATCCAGTTGTCCTTTATGATCCCCTCAACGTGTCCCAAAGTGTCCTTCATGTGTCGCCTGGATTCAGCTGCTCATTGAACACAACCTGCTCTTTATTTTCCAGTTGACGGTGTCTGAAGTTCAGTTTGGGTTTTAATCATCTGTTTCAGGTCCGAAAGTACCGAACAATGACGGAGCTCATTGTGGACGCCATCGAGTTCGTAAAGAACCCGTACAAAGGCAAGAAACTGAAGGTGAGACCCAGTGGAACCAGACTGCTGATTCTGAACCCGATAAGAACCAGGAACCAGAACACCCGCTGACCTCTGTTCTCTGTCGCCTTCAGACTCATCCAGATTTCCCAAAGAAGCCGCTGACTCCGTACTTTCGATTCTTCATGGAGAAACGAGCCAAATACGCCAAAATCCACCCTGAGATGAGCAACCTGGACCTGACCAAGATCCTGTCCAAGAAGTACAAGGAGCTGCCCGACAAGAAGAAGGTGCAGACCGGACCGGACCTCCTGAACCGCCTGCTGCTCACACAGTAGATTTGTTGTCAGATACACGTCTGTGTGAAGTCTGATCGACAGCAACATGTTCTCTGTTCTCCTGCAGCAAAAGTACATCACAGAGTTCCAGAGAGAGAAAGAAGAGTTTGAGAAGAACATGGCTCGATTCAAGTGAGTTTAACTGCAGCGAACTAACCACTAAGCCGCTAACTGTCACGATAATCTAGCACAAAACCCCCTGTTGACCCTTAGCTGTTAGCTATAGCCATGTAGCGTGTGGTGTTAGCATGGCTAACGTCAGCTGGCCTGCAGGGAGGAGCATCCGGAGCTGATCGAGGAGAGGAAGAAGTCGGATCTGCCGGAGAAACCCAAAACTCCTCAGCAGCTGTGGTACAATCACGAGAAGAAGACCTACATGAAGCTGCACCCTGAGGTACATGCTAAATACACGCTAAACAGACGTTAATACATGTCAAATCAGATTAAATACACACTAAAGCACATTCATACACGATAAATGAAGGTAATACACTCATTATTAAACAGTAATACATACTAATACCTATTAAATACACATATTGGCTAGATACTTGCTAAATACACAGTAACACATGCTAAATGCATGCTAATATATACACTAATATGTGCTAGATACATGCTAATACATGTTAATACTACTGCACACTAAATACACATTCATACCTTTTACATGTTAAAGATACACAATGCCACACTAACAAACTAAATTCACAGCATGTTAAGTACACGCTAAGTACACACAGAGACACTTGTTACATGCTCATAACACGCTAAACACACACACGCCACCAATGCATGTTACCTAAATGATAGTACACACTGATACACACTCAGGGCTACAGATCCTGATCAGGTCAGGCTCAGTACACCCTAATACACAGTACACGCTAATGACACGCTAAAGACATGCTAAAGGATACGCTAATGACACTCTAATGACACGCTAAGGACACGCTAATGACATGCTAATGACATGCTAATGACACTCTAATGACACGCTCAAGACCCGCTGATGCCACACTGAAGACACGCTAGTGACACGCTAGTGACACGCTAAAGACACGCTAATGACACGTTAAGGACACTCCAATGACACGCTAATGACACATTAAAGACACTCTAAAGACACGCTAAAGACACGCTAATGACACGCTAAAGACACACTGATGACGCACTAAAGACACACAGTACCCACAAAGTGCACACATCTATGTCTTTCTGTCTTTGTGAGGACCCTCATTCATTTCTAACCTGGTTCTAACCTGGTTCTAACCTGGTTCTAACCTGAACCCTGAAACAGCCCTTTGATAGGGACGGAGCAGGACTAGTTGGTCCTGGACCGGGTGGATCCAGGTGAGCCTGACGATGTCTATCTGTTCCAGGTGAGTCAGAAGGAGCTGAAGGAGGCTCTGAGGAGACAGTGGTCCCAACTGTCCGACAAGAGGAGGCTCAAGTGGATCAGCAAGGCCCTGGAGCTGCAGAAAGACTATGAGGTACTGGACCAGACTGGACTGGACCAGATTGGACTGGACTGGACTGGACCAACTGAGTTGGACTAAAGCAGACTGGACTGGACTAAACTAAACTAAACAGCACTGAACCAGTTGAGTTGGACTTGACTAGACTGGACTGAACCGGACCGGACCAGACTGGGCCTCCCATTCTGTCTGTATCAGTGTCTGATGTCCGGCTGATTTAACCGATGTTGGAAAAGTAACTAAGTACGTGTACTCATGTGCAGTACTTGAGTACACTTCTCTGTTGCGCTACTTCCTGCTTCACCACATTCAGCGGACACAAAATGCAGATTTGACACAACAGAGAACAAAAAGTTTGAAAACAGAGTTACAGATTAAACTATTGGTTTCCCACCGCTGCTTTACAATTTAGATTTTACAAATTTAATATTTTAAATTTTTTTAAATACATATTTTATAATTGTTGATTTTAAAATATGTTTGGATCAATGAGGATACTTCAGAAAGTTCTCAGCTTCACCAGAAAACAGGACCAACGTTGTTCTTACATTATCTTCCAACATAATCTCCTTTAACTGGTCCACCGACGTCCAGGCTTCTTCCCTTCATGGATGAAGGTCACGTCTTGAGCCTCCAGATTCTCCTCAGCAGCATGAAAGACGTCATGATGACTCTGATAACGGAGATTTCAGTTTGTGAACAGACGGTCCGGTTTATAAGGTTCGTGGAGCAACAGTTCTGTCAGTAACAACAACTCCAAGCTCTGATCTTCAGTGAAACATCCTCTTTGACTAAACCGTCACTGATGAGCCATGATGGGAGTTACGCTCCTGGTTCAGGGTGAGGCAGACATTTCAAAGTACCTTCGGATTTTTGTGACTTTGTAATTTTAGAAAACGCTGTTGTTTTGGCATTTGTGATTTGATTTTTTGAAATATGTTTTCTATTTGTTCAGACGTCAGTCTGTCGTCGGCTGATTTTCCCTCCAAACGTCCCAGTTTAATTTCATTCATGTTTCAAAGATCCAACATCTGAGCAGAAATCAAAGATGGTAGAAAAACTAAGAACAGATTTGTGGATCAGAACTGGGTTTGTTCCTCCTTCTTGTCACATGAATCCAGTTTGAAGATTGATCCGCTGAATGTAGACTGGATACCAAGTGAAGTAGCTCCAACAGTGACCTGCTGCGACACACGGATGCTAACAGTCAGTCAGAGGAACTACATTCTGCTGCTGCAGGAGTTCTCAGACGTGTGCTGGAGTATTTTCACTCTGCTGAAGACAGGATGTGAGCACTTGTTGGTCTGACAGCTGGACTCTGTGTTTCAGGACAGCATGAGAGCGTATCACGAAGCTCATCCAGACGTGAACTCAGACGACCACGTTCGCTCCGTCCTCACCAAAGCTGAGAGACAGCTGAAGGACAAGTTCGATGGACGACCGACGAAACCGCCGCCGTAAGTCTCATTTCACTCTGACAGTACCAAGCTAACGGGTACATTGCTAACAGGTAAAGGGCCAACAAGTGCAACACTAATGGAAACATCATTGAAAACAAAGCTAATACAACACTAAACTTGTATAAAAGTCATACCTTGTGGGCCATTTGTTCATAGCGGACAGTTGGTTGGATCAGTGACACTGCTGAATGTTTGTCACGTTTCCGGGTGAAGCCTCAGCAGAGACGCTTCACTCCGTCTCATTTGTTGTAGCTGATACGTATTTTAGTTTGTAAACCGTCACTTTTCCAGCAGTCAGATGTGATTTCTGAGTTCAGCTGCTCAGGCTGGAGACTTAATGATGAGCTGCTCCGTTCTGATGCGGCCAAAGTGGGCGGAGTCAAACACGGTCGTCGTTTCCTGTGTTTCGGGAACTCGGTGGTGGCGTCGTGTCAATCAAAGGTGACCGTCACTCTCATTTGTAGGCCCCTGAAAGATCAGATTAAAATACCAATAAATGCATAAAACACAAGCCGTCGTGAAACATCTGATGAAAACCCAAAGTTCAGTTGCTTGAACATATTCAGATCTTAAACAGTGCCACCACCCCAATGATGCAGCTCCTGCATCTGGAGCCTGGCCCAGATCGGCACCAGAACCTGAACCTGGTCGGCGTCAGTGTTCCTCCAGAAACAAAAAGGCAAAAAGTGTGTCGTCAGTGGCTCAGGCCGTAAGGCGGGACGTCCACTTAATGCAAGGTTCTCCTGCTGAAGTGTCCCTGACCAACGTAGAAAAGCTGTGAATGCAGTCATGGACCTGCTCAGACCTCCTGGTTTTCTTCAGCTTCTTGTCCATTGTAACGCCTGGTACCACTAAAGGTCCATTTGTTTGGACACATA